TGCGATGCTTCTGTAGTTCCTACATTTGTCCAGATTCCCGTTCTTTGCTTTCTTGATGAGGTATCCTGCCTTCCAGTCCATTGACACTTGTTGTTCCTCCCAAATCTTCTTGAATAGAAGGTGAAGCATGTTTGCAGTTACTTAACTGTCTGACTTCAGCTCTTCAGCTGGTATATCGTCAGGTCCTGCTGATTTCCTATTCTTGATTTGTCTGATGACCATCTTGATTACTTCGATCGTTGTTGGAGTGACATTTATAAGAAGGTCTGTAGGTGCTGCTTCTATGTCTGGTGGATTTAAAGTGGTTGGTCTATTTAAGAGTCCCTCAAAGTAGTCTACCCATCTGTTCTTGATTCTCGGTGATTGGCTTGCCTTCATTATCTTTGACCGGTCTCTCTGGTAGTTTCTTCGTTGTAATATATAGTTGTGTTATATTCCCTTCTCTTTTATGCATGACATATACGTGAGTTATTTGCAACTAGATAATGATAATCCAATTCGATCGATGATATTACGGAAATGTAAACTGCAGAAAAATAGTATCAAATAAAAACGACGAATTTATCAGCAACGTTTTCATTAAGGGGGTAATTTACGGCACATGAATTTTATTTCATGCAGCGGGATTTACCTTCAGTTATCTGCTATGAACATATCAGTGTATGTAACATTGAATGGCTTGAAAATGAAAGTCCCAATGAAGATGATACCCTTGTGCATGCAACACAGAAGGCGACTCAATGAGTGGAAAAAGCTGAATTTGCTAAATTTAACAGACCTACTTACTGAACATTGAAAACAGCGAAACAATCGTGGCAAACATTTATTTAAGAAGGCGATTCAGCGAATATTTCACTTAAGTTGGATAATCGTATTTGTAGTTAATTTGTACAGCTTAAATAAATGAAATCGTTTAAAAGAAAATTTTCTCCGATGAAATGCTTTTTTCTAACATGAGTATTTTTCACATTTTATGGCCCTTGATCTGACCCCAATTTGGATGGAAATGTGAGTATGCTTTGAACATAAATCAGCCTTTTAACTACGTGTATTACCTAGGCTAACACCGTTTGTATGACGGCAGTAATAATAACCCAAACACGGGTTGCGTTGGATGAATTTATTTCAAACACTCGTTTATGTGGACAGATATTCAGAATGAAAAAGCAGGGAGGCGAAAGCGAATGAGCCAACTCGTCTTTGATAAAGCGTCACTCAATATTTATAGGCAAACAGAAACAAACCAAACATGTGATGAATAGGAAAAGAGATATACACACATGCTCATACAAAAACAGTAACGTTAATGAACGAATAATTACTAAGGTCAAAATGTGACTCAATAAAAATAAGTGAATTGGTCTGTCCGTAAGCCAAAATAACCCATGTGCGCTTGACATAGTACTAAACTGTTTCGCCACAACGTTCCCAATGTTCAGTAAGTAGGTCTGTTAAATTTAGCAAATTCAGCTTTTTTCCACTCATTGAGTCGCCTTCTGTGTTGCATGCACAAGGGTACCATCTTCATTGGGATTTTCATATTCAAGACATTCGGTGTTACATACACTGATATGTTCATAGCATATATTCTTCGTTGAATTGCTTTCTTCCTTAATGATCTTTTGGTTATTTGAAAACATTCCTTTTATCTAAATTAATGTATGTATATCTTTTTTAATGTTTTAATTCCGTATTCTTATCAAAAAAGGAAGCTGCATTATTTTTTTACAATATATAATTATCAGTATGGGGTTGTGGAGATTGTTAACTTTTGGATTGAGACCATGAATCGATCGATGTTAGACCACCCCTGAAAACCTGTAGGCATTGAATTGCCGTTTCGTCCTATTATGGGACTCCTCAGAGGCACGCATCCACGATCCCGCGGACGGGGTTCAAACCCAGAACTTTCGGTGACCAGTGGAGCTAGGCCGTTCCAGAAATGTACCTCAGAAAATGGAAGATGGTCGCGCAACTTTGTGGATTGATTGAAGTTAGATATTAACACCGTTGGATGTCAGCTCAGTTGTCTAGAATTTAAGCGTTTGTGAGCGAGACCGAAGGTCCTGGGTTCGAATCCCGTGTGTGAGATCGTGGAAGTACACTGCTTAGGAGTCCCAAAATAGAACAAAACGGCCATTCAGAGCCTACGGGTTTTCAAAGGTGGTCTAACATCAATCGATTTATGATCTCAATCAAAAATATACAGGTAATAACTTGAAATTGGCATAAATTAGCGTTCAATATGACCGCCTAACATTATCATACTCATCATTGATCCTTATCTTGTCAATAGATACATGACGTAATATAAAAACGGAGTTAACTTGAAATAATATTAATTCTATATCCTTGGAAAGTAGAAAACCAAGTATTATTTCAACTAGAGAACCTACGCATATGCCAGAAGTTAGCTTTTTACACATTAAAAGTGTTGCTATAGCGACAGTTATATGGGAAACAAATGCAAAGTTATGGTAATAAATATCGTACATAAAAATATCATTGAATATATATATATATATATATATATATATATATATATATAGAGAGAGAGAGAGAGGACTACAAACTAAGAATTAGAAAAAGGTTAGCTAAATAATTAATTAAAATCAATAAAAAGGATCAAGACATACAAAACCTTGTATTATCAGTGTTCTCTTGATTGACTGTTATTTGTAATAAAAAATTAATATGTGATGGATAGACTCAAAAAAGCAGTCCAATCAATATATCGCTTACGCATATATATATATATATATATATATATATATATATATATATATATATGAATTATTCAACTGTAACAGGTAAAAATGAACTCAATGTATTCCATAGATTCGATGAGCGAGGTAGTAAGTAGTGTAATAATAATTATTTTTTGTCAAAAATGGACGGATTTTAGCATGTGATTTGTTTTCAGGACGGCAGTCTCGTCTATTTCAGTCTACCTACATCTCTTAGCTGATATTTACACTAAGATTCGCTAAATTGTAATTCACTGAGTTCAGAGAGCCATTGGCGTATTTAGTGGGAAAGATGTTTACGTCATTTAGCAATAAGTATTTGAATTATCCTGCTGTTAATATTTAGGACTGCGTCTTGATCAGTCTGTTGATCATAGTAAGTCAATCAGCACACAATGCACAAATGCCAACGAAGATTGACCAAAGTATAGTACTGAATATTACCAGGATAGTTTAAACACTTGTTAATAACGATATAGAGGGTTCAACTGTTCAGAAATAAGAATATATTATTTGAAATATAATCAAAATCAGTATGATCAGTACTGAACAGATGATCTCCACGGACATATTTATCATTATTTTGAGTTTCCAAAGGAACTTCAATCGTTTATTAAAAATTCATACAAAATTACAACCATATAACTGAGTCAGTAGAGAAAAGGACAGAGCATACAATAGCATAAGAATAAGAATACTAGTGTTTTTATCTATAACAAAGCATCATTTAGATGAATAAAATATAACGAAACGAATTGTATGTTTCTTGAAAAACATCATTCTCAATGTGAATGAAGTTTAGTGTCATTAGTTTCTATCTATCTAACGGATAGATTGCATTATTCAATACCGATGCTACACCTTTAAGTTATTTCCAATAAGTATAATCGCTTGATCACTCGATGGCTCTGAATGTTTTTGATCATAAGTGTATTTGAAGCATTGGCCATTAACCTAGCATAGAGTGCTGAGTGAAGGTAGGAAATCGACTGATGAGGTTGTGAATCACCACTGACTAAGGTGGTTGGGGCATGCATTACATATGCTTAACAACCGCTAACTCCTATGGGGCTTTTAGCCAGTGTAGAAGTAGGGGCACCCAAATCAAGATGTACCATTAGTTTATAAATTCATAGACTCTTGGTTAGAACCGTGTAAGTGCAGATTACCTGGTTGTAGTTTACATTATAACAGCGACTAGTGGTCAAAGTTGCATGGCTCAGAATCGGTCTTAAAGGCACAGATGCATTTACCTCTCATCAAACTCTAGATCTTGAATTCTAGTATCCTTCTGTGCATACCTTTTCACTGTCACTTCAAACTATATTCACGTTTAGTCTTTCTTAAAATCATTGCTCTTACATTTTCTCTCAATCAGTTTGCTATTCTCCTAGTTGTCCCAATTTAGTATGGCAGTTCGGGCCAATGAACATTTGTACCAGACTCGATATTTACCATGAAAGACTAATTATCTAGGAATTCAATGTGAATTATCTTTATAACGACATTACTGAATGGTTGTTCGTCTGAAAAAACTGATTACTTTGGAAATATTGAATGTCTAAATATATATAACGAGCTATATAAACTACGATCTTTTGATTTGAAAGAAATAATGATGTTTGCTCTTAACGTATCAAACTACAAGATGAAAATAAAGGTGTAGAATTGTTGTTTAGCTTTTAAAATTCAGAAGTGTAACAATGATCAGAGAACAGCAATAAATCACACGAAATTTATCCAACTAGAACGATATTTTGCTTGTTTAAGCTGTTTATTTCACTACGTGGACGGAAATGTATTAGTAGAAAGAAAACTACAATTTGATAATGATCAAGTATTTCACAAAAAGACGTCAATTTCCTTTCACAATAAGCAATGACAATAACATAATCGAATTTAACGTTTAAATTTGTGATTAAAACTAAAGTACATTGGTTAACGCTCTAAGGTTATTTTAGTTTTCTATACAGACGAACATTGTTCAATGCATAGAATAGATGGAATGTAGCTAGCAGTGCAATCCAGGACGTGTGTTTTGCCCTACTAAGGACTTGTCAGCTGGATGTACCTGCACCTCAGTTGAATTAACTAGTGTAGATAAAGCCTTGGTCTGTTAAGATAGTTAACTATCCTTGTTGCTATTTCTCAACAATGCCAACACATGAAGTTCACATTTAATCCTTCACCTTCATACATAAAAACTCACTTGCTTCAAATCAAAACCACTTAGATAATAAAAGAAGCCAGAGATTAATTATATGGAGAATAAAGTGAATCATCTGATGAATTTGAGGAGCTGCCCGTCTGAAATAGTTTCGAAAAAGACAATATGAGATGTAATGTAAAGTATGGAAACAGACGCATAAAATTAAACCAGAAAATAAACAAAAGATGACTTAATCCTATATTCCTAATACAACACAATACAACAATTGGGAAGATAAAATCAGCATTTAAAAACACTGACAGTGATAAACACCGAAACAGCCTTCTTAAAAATATAGTTTTCCAATCGGCAGTTGTGATAAACTTAGTTCTCCATCACTCACACACCAGGTTGGTCTCGCGTAGAGAGAGAGCATAGTGTTTCTGTATCTGAATCGGATGGCTGCAGAAGGCAAGTTGGTACCTTTCTCATGATAGTTGTTGAAGATGGCAACTCAGTCGATACAGGTTGGTCAAAAGGTTAAGTTCTTTAAAATTTAACACAGTGATAAAATCACCAGGCACTGGCACGAGTGATGAGACCAATTCACGTATAATGTAAGCCAGAGAGGCTTGTGCCAATCTGGGCCATGTTTGGCGCCTTCTTGATGTTAGTCTGGCTGTAAAGGGTGGAATCTACAAAGTGTCGGTGGGAGCAGTCTTACTCTATGCTTGTGAGGCCTGGTCTCTTTGAGTTGAGGATGCTAGACGAATCTTTGTTTGATTATCGTTGTCTCCGAAGGATTGCTGACATCCAGTGGCAACATCATGTTAATAATGCAGAGGTTCAATATCGTGTGTTCGGGCACAGTGTTGATAATTTAATTTGTCTCACTTTCATGAAACATAGACTTCGGCAGCTCGTACATGTCTTACCAACGAATTCCACGTCATGCATTATTTGCCGACGCTGGGACTGGCTGGAGAGGGCGGACAGGTGGTCGGTGTGTGACATGGTGTATTGGTATAAAAGAGAGCTGTACAGGACTAGCTTCTGTTGGTCCTCCGCGACTTCCTGGTTGAGATTTTAGAAATGGTACAAAACAGAGGTTTTAGATTTTATCAGATATAGCTTAGAACAGAAGCTAGTGGTGATCCTGTTGTAACTTTTTTTGACTTGTTTTATGAAAGTGAACGCAACTTCTTTCACTGGAAGAATTCTTTTTGATTGTACCTTTTTTAACAGAACTGCTCCTCCCATTGTTATTATTTCACTATCATTAACTAGTTTCTGTTCATTATCGTTCTCCCTTTTCTTATACACACCTTACATTCTCTATCTCTTTTCATATTCTCATTGTTATTGTGTGGTGAACATGTATCTGGTGCCCCTTTGTATCAATATATTTTTGTTCTAATACATAAGTTTCTTTCCAATTTTTCCAGTCGTGCCAATTGTTTGTTTGGTATTTTGACATCCCATTCATTTAAATGTGTTGAGGATCAATAGCCGGCATGGTCGAGAATTCATGTCACTGGTTCTCGCTCACATGTAACATGTTGTCGAGGATTTTGGATGTCGTTATCTATCAGCTATTCACAGCATTCTATCCGTCACACATCAATTTTCGTAATCTAGTGGTGATCCTGTTGTAACTCATTTTGACTTGTTTCATGAAAGTGAACGCAACTTCTTTAACTAGAAGAATTCTTTCTGGTTGTACCTTTTTCAGCTGAACTGCTTCTCCCATTATTATTATTATCTCACTCACATACACTAATCTCCGTTCGCTGTTTTTCTTTTTTCACCATGCACATATTACTGCTTTCTAAATCGGATAGAAATCTTCAATAATTAACACTCCAACATATTTTGCGTACGTGTAGAATTCACCTTTATGTATATGGGATTACATGGCTATTTCTCATTCGCTTCCTGATATGAAGACATCAGCATATCTGATTATTGTTAGTACACCATGGGGCTTTGAAAAAATCTGACATGATCATGAATCGCAACGATAGTCGTATGCAGTGTGCATGAAACTGAAGCAGATCAAGGATGAAAGTTTGTAGACACTTCCTTCTCTACTTTATAAAACGTAGATACATTCTTCCGAGCCTCTGATTTTATGACATGAGTGGGAAGGTTGAATTAAGTGAAAAGATACCCTGGGTTTAAAACCAAGTTTCGTGTCGAAGGACAGAAAGTGATTGTTTCTCGCAATTTCAAGTCGACAACCACTTGTCTACAGTTAGAACAAACGTAACGTATACGAACGCTAATACGTTCATAAATATAACATAAACAATCGGCACAATTGGTCATCACTATAGAGTCTGAAAGCACAAAGCTTTTAAAGCTCTCATTTTCAACAGTAACCAAACACACGTCTGAATTATTTATCTAACACATTTAGTTTACAAAGAAACTTCCTAGCTAATTTATGGGAAGAAAATGAAAACTAAAATCAGTACTAGTTATATTTCATCAATTTCTACGATAGAAAATCCCTACATACTTTATTTTTCTTTGAAATTCGAATACTGGATTCCTTCAATAATAAAGGAACATTATGTTTGTCAAAGTGTATTTCATTTTTCCCACCAAGTTCAGGATTCGAACTTGTAAAATTCAAAATTTTTAATTTGTCCAAATTATAACTTGAGAATGAAGGATCCTAAGTAAAGGGAGGATGGAATAAATAATATAAGAACATTAAAGGCGTAACATGGAACAGTACAAACAAGACATTGAATTTCTACTACCACTAAAGTAACGAGAATAAATGTATGATGATATTGGTTAGTATATTATAACAATAATAGCATGATCCTGATGGAGGATTGTTTACTTAATTATTTTTACAAAAAATGTACTTGATTGTCAATAAATATAAACGCCTGAATTATCTAATTGTGCAGAAAACAAAATCGCCGAGTATTTTAATACCACGTAAACATTTAAAAACAAGTTGAGCTGTCTGATTCGCCATTAATCTAAGCATTAGACTTTTGATTCAACTATCATATGTGCAGCTAGTTTTTCTTGTTTAGCACATTTTAATCACTTTTACTCAAATTGTAAATAATCAGGATGAAAATCGGTTTGAAATAGGAAAGCATTTCAAAAAGAATTCAGAACAACAACGTGCAGAAACACGAGGATTCACACAAAATTTATGTACGAAACTCCTTTTCGCTTCATCCACTAGCGCTAATTAGTTAAAAATAGATAAGCCAACGTATTCAGATTCTGTCTTGCACGATTTTGTCCTTAAGACACGCACACATTCTGGCCACAAACTTATACGAATTTGGCAATTTGATAATTTTATGGAATAGAAAATAATGTATCTATTAAGATTGACAATATATTAAAAAATACCTTAGGAAAAGCATCACTTCGTTATTTTGTAATACAGAATAGGAATAGTATAACTTCCCAAGGATGACGATGATTAAAATAATAATAATAATCAACCAACTTCGTATCAAGGAAGTGATACTGATTAATTAACCTCGTGTTTGTCTAGTCCTAAAATGTTGATCAAATCCTACTGATCAAGATGTGATGCGATTACTCTAGTTGTCTCAAAATCTCATAGATTGTTTGGATGAGAAATGACTGGGAGAAAGTCCGGGACCTAAAGAAGATTAGTTGTGGTCTCGACAGCTGAATGGTAACATATTTTACTGTGTCACTACTGAGAGAAGCATCTTCGAACCGCATGGATATCATCAGCATCCACGAGAGCGTAATACGCTCTGATGGAGAGTTTCAACCAGAACGTAATTCAGGTCCCAAGTGATATTAGAGAGACTAGTCAGGAAATCCAACAACTTTGTGAGAGCTTTTGAATTACTTTTTTTCAGGTATTGAATGATCATATAGACATTATCAATCTATTTTTCGAGAATAATTCTCAATAGCTATTCAAGATTGAGACACCCTGAAGAGCTATTTAGGTTATTAGCCTTAATAACAATTAGTCACAGCCTATCATAAATGAGAGTTACGTCAAGCTGGCACATCACTATTTGACCAGTCAGAGAGCTGACTCCAGAATTATAATAAAATAATTTATAAACTAAGTGATGATAACGTGAAAATTCACCACAAACAATCGGCAACAAAATTATAAGACACCAAGCTAAAATTAGAGACTGATAATAATTAGAACAAAAATGAACGCATTAATTATGAGACAATAAAACATGAGGAATTCCAGACTATAACAAAGCAATAGATATTCTGAATTATTTGATTTTAAATAATTACTTGACTATAACTATTATCTAAAAATAGGTTTACGTTACAGGATGATAGCGGCTAGAGAATGGATAAAGGCCAGACGGTAGTGAACACCACCTTTTTCCTACACTGACCCGGATACACTAAACAATGTGCACCAACAAGCTTACAGGAGATCGAACATGAAGTGTACGTCTTAATAAAGATCAGGACACATGTAAATCAAATATGTTCAACATAATTCACTTACCCGGCACAAAATTATATACCTGACTTTGAACTAAATTTTGATTGTGAAGGTTAGTGGTGTTATGGCTGCTCATATCAAAGCAGGTGAGGCTGATCTCGAAACTGACCGAGTAGTTTTAGGCTGATCACTTTAACCATTGAGTCATGAATCTAAACCTTTAGATCACTTGGGTTGAAACCATATTTTTAAATTCAACCGATTCATGATTTGACGAGACTATCCAATGTCATTTGTAACTGACTCACTCACTTTTGGCATGGTTAATTTCATAGATATAGTTAATATTAACTCATAATAAAATTACCTTCATATTGGACAAGCCTCAACAAACCCTGTGTATAAATTAACTTGTAATCGTTTACATCATTCCGTTGTCGATGTTGTAATTGAAACTTGATCAGTTACGGTTGGCATATGTGCAGATTGCTTCGATACTGTCAGTTAGGACACAAATTTATATACAATAGATGGAATGTGACTAGCAGTAGAATTCAGGACAAGCACTTTTATTCCGGAGTAGTGACCAACTCTGGGATTCAGATACATCGAGATAACGAGTCTTAGATAGGAAAAACGCGGGTCCTAAATTCCACTACTAGTTATTCCATCTATTCTATATAAACATGTATATAGAAACATTATTACAACATCCCAAACTAACCTCTAGAATCAACTCTTTTCCCTTTAATAAAGACTTACAACCGGTCAAAGAAGATTTTACTTCAGCCAATTGACTTTTTGATAGTTCCACTTCATTATTTTCATTATCTCCACCAGATGTCGGGAGGTCTACAAAATATAATAAGCGTATAAAAAACAAGGTGAATAAAGCTAAACACCCACACACGGAAGAGAGTTAAGTATATAGTATAGCAGACAATAAACAATATAATCAATTAATGAATAACTGTAGTATTATAAAAATCAAAGAGATAACGAAAGACTGATGTTTACCAAATAACTGATTGTGTAAAGGAGTGGGTTACGTTTATGGTATGAAAGTGAATTATCCTAGTCAACAAACGGGCAAAAAGTGTTGGTAAGTCAAGTCAAACAATAACACTGTGACCTGACAACTAAATGATTAAACATTAGAATCATAAATGCATTTGTATTGTAATTTAAATGTCGAATAGAGATAGTTAATTTGAAAGGAATGTTCTGTCAGATACAATTACGTTCTAAGTACTGATATTTGTCAATATTATATAGTTCGCAGCGCAGAATAATATTAGTTGGACAAACATTGAAAACAATAAATCCCTGGACAGTTGTTTCATCCCAATGTGAGACTTACTCGGTAGCCTCAGTGGTCTAAAATTGAAGTACTCATGCGGACCTGAATGTTCTGGTTTTGATACTCCGTTGGGTCTTGGGTGCTAGTTGCTAGGGGACCCCATACCAGAACAAAATAAATGTCCAGTGCCCTCTAGTTTTCAACGATCGTCAAACCAATGTTAGTTCATGATGCACACCGCAAAATTGTGCCGTTTTCATAAGCTCTCCATTATAATATAAAGATATTATTATTGTGATGACATTTTACGGGCTGCTCAAAAAAGTGAAATACATTTCATTTAAAATATTAGGAAAACATGATAGACTAACCTAATAGAAAAGTTTGTGAATTTACAACATTTTTTGTTACATTTCTCTCTGTTGTTATTCTTGTTTTTGCCGTATAGTGTTTGGCTAAACATTTTAATTTACACCAAAGACATCGAGATAAATAACGTACGCGTCTGGTAAGATCATCACGAATTACTGCATACGGTAATTCAAATAAAAGATTATTAACAAGGGCTGATTTTCCACGACCATTCTCTTTAGATATGGAAAAGTTTGAATAATCTTCGTCGGACGATTCTCGTTTAAAATACTCATCGCCGTCATCTTCCTCGTCATCAAGTGAAAAGAATTCATCATCAAATTCATTGGAATGAATTACATTATCATTATTTTGTACCCACGTAGTACAATGACGCTGGAGAAAGTCAGTGAATCGAATTATTCTTGAAGAGAGCTGACTGACAAGATCTCGAAGTTCACGATTTTCATAAAGTAAGTCATTTTGGCGACTTTCCAGTTGTTGAACTATTAATGAAGATAAGTCAGCCTATAAGTAAAAGTATGGAATACTTAAACAGCGCTGAATAATTGAACCATAGATTTTAAAAAGTGTCTTAACATTTAGTAATAAGATGAGTTACATGGCAATTCAGTTGATTTGCAAACATTAAGACATATATCTCAATATCACGCCACATATAACAACTCATCAGTGAACCAGATAAAGATGGGTCTCGTTTTAGTACTGTTCTTTTTTAACATACATGCTTAAAAAACTGAGGAAAATCTTATCAAGTAACCGGACATGAGTTCATGAACTAAACATTAATTGTTCAGATGCCATAAATCTGACAAAAAGGTCAGACTAATCTGAAACCATGACACAAACTTTATGAATTGAAAGTTCGGATCATTAGATGAAATATCTATATTACATCAGGAGTCTAAATACCTCATTACATATTAGTTGTTAAAAACTAAAGTTGTCCAAAATTCAGAAGACATTGACTTGTACGTCTTTTAAAAGTGAACAACAAGCTAGAAAATGGCCAAATGATAAATAGCTTCCTAAACTTCGTAAAATGACAGCACGAAATCCAAAATAAAAACTTATCAAGTTTTTTAATCATTTTCAAAATATGCGATGATTATTCTCAATGATATATTTTCTGTGTCTAAAACTGGCTTAATAATCTCAAGGCTTGCGTCTTAATCGTTGTGTCCGAGATGCACATTAATTTCGAATAACTATTTCTTTCACAATCAGGAACAAAAAATCATGTACGGTTAGGTGGCATTAAGGCACTCAACCTCATTGTCATAAAACAAAAACCTAGACAAGATATGAAAAGAGGTACGTCCATATACACCCTCATCGACAATGATAATGCATTTAGAATACTGAATTAAAATTCCTGACATTTTGAAGCTTCTCAACTTATACGCTCGCAAGTGTGATCATTACTCTCCATCCGGAAGGCAGCCTGCTTGAATATCTGGACTGTCTGTTTCTACCATCTGAATATTTCGACAAGCTAACTGTTTTTCTTTGTTTTAGCACATTACTATTTCTATTAGTCGCATAACTTATTCGGGGCGTTTATGAAGTTTGTGAAATTACACTGCACAGGTTACAAAAAAGTACAATCAGCGACATCGTGGTGACTGGCAGCATGCATTAAAAATAATGAACATTATTCGGATGTCAATTCCTGAACTGCTTACATCCAACTGGCAATCACTAAATATTTATCATCAGAATCGATCAAGAAATAAGAATAGGAAACTTGTTGAAATATTTTGTGTTGAGAATTTTATAGTTTACCAAAAATATATTGAATAAAGCCATTAATAATAATAAATAATAGAATTAATATGTATAACTTTGAACAAAATGACACCGAACTCCTCACAACTGCCATAATCGTTTAGAAAATTACTGGCTATCTGGACTCATTAGCTTAGTAGAGAACGAGTAGAGGGTTTAAGTCTCATTGTGAACATCAACACTCGTATATACGTCCACTCATTCAATGAATGAAACACATGTCCTGAATTTCATCTCGAGGTACAATTCAAATATATACTAGATCTTCCAAAAATAATATTAAATACAAAGGAACCGCTGAAAATACATAAATGCCAACAAAGATCGATCAAAATTCAGTTCTGAATATCAACAGTAAAATAATACAAACTCTTACATAAAAATATAAAGGTTCATTTAACAGGTTACTAACTGAAATTATTATTTGAAGGTTAAAAAGTAAGGTAGGTAAAGTAATTCAATTGTGAATTTAACCCCTAAACCATTAATCATTGGATGAACATACAGAGCTTCCATTCTTATAGACAAACTATCACATACCTTGGGAGTTTGAACATCCCAATCATATTTGATGTGAGAATTGAAGCTATTGACTGAAGTGAGTGACTCAAATTTGGTACTACCTAAACCAGAATTAGTTCGAATTGAACTTCCAAATCTCCGAGAACTGGATGGTTCTCCGTTTGTTATATCAGGCTTTTTACCAACTTCTGACGATAAAAACCATTGTGACATTGATAAACTCGTTGGAGAGCAAGACTGTTTATCTGTTTTCTGCCCTTTGTTCCAGTTAGGAGTGGCTTTGTCAATTAAAAGAGCTAAGCGTTTCCGAAGATCTGTTGCTTCTTTCTCTAGCTTACGACGTTCGTGTAGAAACTGAACTTCATGTCGTTGGAAGTTTGACTGAACTTTACGAAGCTATAAACAAAGGAGTAACAGGTATTTTATTGGAATTAAAAATAATTTTAAGAATATATAACAGAAATTACGAAAGTATGTATATCAATCGTCGTTGTCAATATATATAATACTCCGCCTGTGACTCTTTTGGATTAACTGCTGGTTTCAAGCCTGAGTAAAGGAGGGTTTGGCATGGGGTCAGCAATCTCATCCTGTAGAAAACAACCTTGATAAAAACACGTTATTCAGACTGAACAAATTAAACCACTTAAACTCTGCCCTGGGAGTTGAAGGAATAATTATGACGCCCCATGATGAAAGCCGAGACTTTTCGGAAGTCACGAGGCCGATGCATTTTTTAACAACCAGAGCAACAATTTTTATAGGTACATGGAACGTCTGGACAGTGTGGGCGACCAGGAAGACCAGTCAAATAGCAACGGAAATGAGGAGATACAAATATGCGGTAATAGGAATCAGCGAAACCCACTGGACCAAAGCTGGACAGCAAAAAATATATTCGAAAGAGATGATGCTGTACTCTGGTCACGAAGAGACGAGCAACGGTAGTGGAAAAAGCTGCGAGAAAGGAATATAAAACAACTATATATTACAACGAAGAAACTAGCAGAGAGATATAGTAAACCAGAGAGACCGGTCAAGGATAATGAAGGCAAGCCAATCACCGAGAATCAAGAACAGATGAGTAGACTTCTTTGAAGAACTCTTAAATAGACCAACCACACTAAATCCACCAGACATAGAAGCAGCACCTACAGATCTTCTTATAAATGTCACCCCACCAACGATCGAAGTAATCAGGATGGCCATGCGACAAATTAAGTGCGGAAAAACAGACATAGAAGTAACTGTAAACATGCTCCACATTCGATTCAGGATGATATGGGAGTCAGAACAAGTTTCGACGGACTGGAAAAGATACCTCATCGAGATATCAAAGAAAGGAGATCTGAGCAGATGTACGAACTACAGAGACATCACACTACTATCGGTACCAGCAAACGTTTTCAACAGTGTTGCTGGACCGGAAGAAAGACACAGTAGACACCCAACTTTGAAATCAACAAACCGGATCCCGTAAGGATCGGTCGTGCACAGACCAAATTGCGACACTACGGATCATCGTTGTACAGTCAATTGAATGGAATTCATCACTATACACCAGCTTCCTCGATTACGAGGAACCATTGGACAGTGTACATAGAAGGACCTTATTGGACCTTCTTCAACATTATGGTATACATGAGAAGATTGTCAACAGCATACGGAATTCATACGACAGACTACAGTGCAAAGTGGTGCACGGAGGACAGCTAACAGACGCATTCCACATGAGGAACGGAATCAGACAAGGCTGCTTAATCTCTTCATTTCTCTTTCTTCTAGTGGTTGACTGAATTGTGAAGACCTCGACATCTGACGGGAAGCACGGAATAAAATGAACAGGTTGAATGCAATTAGACGATTTGGACTTTGAAGATGATCTTACCCTTCTATCCCATACACACCAACAAATGCAAGTCAACATAAACAGTGTAGCAACAGCCTCTGCATCTGTACGCCTCAACATACACAAGGGAAAAAGCAAGATCCTCAAATACAACATGGAGAACCCTGATCCAATCACACTTGGAGAAACTCTGTTAGATGTGGAAACATTCACTTATCTGGGTAGCATCATTGACGAACAAGAAGGATCTGATACAGAAGTATAAGCGAGGATTGGCAAAGCAAGGATAGCATTCCCACAGTTGAAGAGCATATGGAACTCAAAGCAACTGCCAACGAACATCAAAGTCAGAATCTTCAATACGAACGTCAAGACAGTTCTACTGTACGGAGCTGAAATGTGGAGAAATACTACAACCCTCATTGAAAAGGTACAAGCATTTATTAACAGTTGCCTAAGCAATATAATGAATGTCCGTTGTGCGGATACCATCATCAACAGCCTATTGTGAGAGAGAATAAACCAGTTTCCAGCTGAAGAGGAAATTAGGAAGCGGATAGGACATACATTGTGGAAATTTCCAAACTGCATCACGAGGCAAGCGCTAACTTGGAATCCTAAATGGAAACGGAAAAGAGGAAGGTCAAAGAAGACACTGCATCGGGAATCGGAAACAGACATGGAAACGATTGCTCAGGACAGAGTTAGATGGATGGATGAGCGGCCGATGCTTCTTCACAAGGGGTAAAAGGCGTTATATATATATATATATATATATATATATATATATATATATATAGCATCTTTGTATCCTTCAATACATAATTAACCAGTCATATAATGTTGGGACTGTTTGTTACTGCCAACTTACTGAAATTCCTTTAATAAAAAAACCGTGTTATAAGGTAGCTGATGGATAATTTATCATTCTAATTAACGACAATGGTTCTTTACTACTGATATTTGGTTATCATACTGAAAAAAAGAATCCCACTTCGACGGAAATTATGCTATGCGCATACAAACTTTTTCCTAATTGAGTGTTCATTATTTAAATTTCATTTGTTTTTGTATGAACTGTAAATCTATCAGCTTTGCCAGACGAATGTGAACAGTTAAATTTAAGTTATACTTGACTCTAACTACGAAAAACATGCTGTTACTGGTTTTTCCAACTAAATAGAACTGGCTATCAAAACTATTTTCCCACTGAATGACCCTGTAAGTTGATGTTTGGTTTTCCGTTTAATTTCATTAGGGTTCGACTAAAACAATTGAATGATTCATTAAACACTGACAAGATTTATGTTACTATTGACTAGTAAACAATATATTCAAAGATAACGGATGTTTCTATTACTGAGCACAGCGAAACTGGTTAAAAAGAAGTATGAAGTCCTAGTGCACTTAATGGTACAACAACGAATTATTTTCAACTCATAACCGAATAAGGATACTTAGTTACGAACCAAACTTCAAGTGCGAAGGCAAGCAACACTACTCGGTTGCCAAAAAAAAGAGTAGCCGCAACGGAGTAGCTATTTCTAGACAATTTAAATTTAAAATCCTCAAACGAAGATTATGCTTAAACCACAAATACATTCAAAGTCATGATATTTATTTGGAACAATTTAAAAATGTAACTAAAAGACAGAATTTTCATCCACAAAAAAACTTACTTCATTACATGTGGATTTTAAACGATCATTAAGTAACTTTTTATCATTTAAAGCTTGTTTTTCCCTTTCTTTGATTAATTCACTTGATCTTTGTGTTTCTTCTAAATTTTGCTGGCATCTTCGATAAAGTTTTTGTACTTGAGTTAAATCAGATTGTACACGATGAAAACTAATTACAAAACACAAAAAGCAGAACAAGAGAAGTATGCAAATACAAAATTGGTGCTTTTATTATAAATAATTAATTGTATTTTTATCCATGAAAACAGTGCATGTCAATTGCAGATAGCCAGGTATTTTTTATCAAAAGGTGAGTATACAGTAAAGTAGTTTGCTTCGTATTATTTTATGATAGGGAAAAATAGCCGATGACAGTAAGACATGAATTCGTTAGCACTTTATAATATATACCATGGAAACAGTGCTCGTGCACGGTGGAGCTACAGTGTGAATAGTTCTGATACTAGAAGTACGGTACTGATATATGCTACACACGCTCTATCATCGAATATTCTGGTGTCTTATGCTGACTAACATAATAGTAGATTAGAAAAAGACTAATGGTTTGCATACATAAAATCAATGTATATAATCACTAACTGTGGTTCTGAAACGCGTTGGGAGGCGATAAACTTCGTTTTCAGAAGTCATCAACTGATTGCGATCAATGGATCTTTAATGACACGTTTTAACATTGATCACAGAGATGAATCCAATTTTTATCTTCCTCTAAAAGTTTTAACACTGCTCATGCTTTTCAATAACTGATTTCATCTATTCTTTTGGAAATATACTCTCTGCTTGGTCTCCACTCTTAATGACATTATTATTTCGACTTACTTGCTTGTCACCTTGCTGATTTCTTAGTGTTGTGCTGATAGAAAGTGTGAAAAAAGTCTAGTTTACATCTGGATTAGGTAGTACCACTAATACAATTTTTATAACTGTGATCCACTTTTGGAAATAAATACAAGATCATTTGAAAATATCATAAAATCGTGATACAAATATATTGAATAATTAACAATACATATGTCATGACGTACCAAATAACATAATCTAAAGTAAATGTAATTTTTAAACATAGGCTCATTTAATTCACTGTAACAAAGCAAATCTTAAGTTTTACGGTCAAAAATATTTATGCAGCCGACTTAATGGACGACTTTATAACAGTAACTAGATTTTTTCCACTCACCTATTAAGGTTTACAATGTTTTAAGCACTTTATTTACTAAGTTTTCTATAACTAAGAAGATAAATGAATACAGCGCACATGTATTTTCTTTAGTTCTACCAGACCATAACCTTGTAAAAGGAATTGAGATAAATTATCCGTACAATCCACTGTGAGATACATAACTCTACCGTAGTAATCAGAAGTTGATAATATGCATCTTACTATTGGTGAATCCCTAAAAATAGCAACTTCATGTAAGCTGAATAACTTGTTTAAGCTGAAAGAATATGTATAAAGTAGTAGATCTTCCTCAATTACTCGATAACGAAAGACGTTGGCATGTGTTTTCTTTCACGCTTCCAAAGAATGACTCAACTGAAGAAACTACTTTACAGGAACAGGTAAAGTCATATGCATAAATTGTTTGAGACACTAGAAAATCTATAGGTTTGTGGTTGACATTTTTGAGACAATAATATTCTGCAATTAAACAGTTTAACCTTAACTGTTACACCATCATCCTTAGACACTCAAAACTTGAAGACATTAAAGCAGAATCTACAAGTAACATGAATGAAGATGGTGAACATGCATCTGATTATATAAAAGTTTATGGAATGACTAGTTTTCATTTACTTCTAAAACAAAACATTTGGTACAATAGGGTACCGAAACATGTGTAGTGGATGAAAATTCAATGTGTTAGATAAAGTGATGAGAACATGTTATCGCTTGGATCAAAATAACGACAAAATCTTATAATTACATGGTGAAGAATTATGTATAAGATAATCTTTTACTTCTTTAACCAAAGTGGTTGGTGTGCATCAAGTAGCAATATTTCCCCTTTCATATATTCCCTTTTCCTCATACCTTGTCCTCTTCAACTACAAATACTTTTCTTATGCATGCAGATGATATTACTGTATCTACGCGTTTTTCACTCTCCTGAGTGAGAACGAATAAGTTTCTAGCACCGACGATTGACGCTCTATTTTGAACGGTTTTACATTCAATCCCTTTAAACCTCAAACTGTAAAAACTTAGTCCAAGTGATAAAAAGGACTTAAACACTCTGTGGTGATCGTTTGACTCCTAGACCTTTGAGGAATCTGTTACATAGGCTGTATCACAGGTTACTTAACCTGGTGTAGGTTTTTTCGATCTCCTTTGGTATTCCTGTTGTTTTTTTTAATATCGAAGAAATATTTTTGCTTGGCTTACAACGTACAGAGACTATGTGTTATCGCCTTCGTCCAACTTTTGTGTATATGGCAAGTTTTTAAATATTACTCCACACCATTTATTACTAGACTCCAATTAGAAGATTACGCTGTTACATGGGGTCATGAAAGACGTTGGTCATATACATAATGTATCTTTCTATTGGATTATGAAAATAGTTATGGATAGTCATTTGAAATCTTTCATACAGCTAGAAGGTCAGTAAAAGAAGCTTCCCTAATGTTCAACTGGTTTCATCATACAAAACCAGGTGTTTTCTATACTATTCAAAGGTAGATCAATATCCTTTTGACATCACCTCCAATTGCATTTATGAATTTACATGTACCTGCGGTAGCAAATATATAAGGACAGAGAGAACAGCCTTTACAAAGTTTTATGAGAACATTCCTGGAAACCTACGGCTGAAAGGAAGTAAAGTCTCTACAAGTCCAATTGCCAGATATCTCAATAGTGGACATGAAGTGAAAGTAAGTGATGCACTCAAAATAATCAACGGACAAAAAACATCAATCTTACTCAGTTTTGCAGAGACAATCGCTATCAAACGTTTTCGACCTGATCTAGGTATAGAGAAGGAAAGTTTGATTAGCCATTCCCTGCCATGGTGGTTGGATATTTGTCCAATAACCTGTTAATTTTAATCTTTTTTCAACCTTGTCCCCAACCTTTATATTGTTTTGTTATTTTTGTCTTTTTTATATTTGTCCCTTGCACAATACGATTGGTGTTTACATACTTATTTTATCGAGTCATTACACAATTACTGACTAATTTCATCACCTTAACATTACCTAATTATGACTTCCCGACATATAAATACACATCAATTTTAATTATATTTATCCATACACTTTGTATCCTTATTTTTCTGCTTATAATTCCCATTACCTTTCGGGCAATTATCTAAACTTTACAAACTAAAGTATGCTAAACATTTATTAATAATTGTATCTAGACTAGCTATTGTAACCATAGGTTGTATGCAGTCGAGAAATCATGAGATAGAATGAATTTATTTTATTCAGCAAACCTTGTTCTTGCTCTGTTTATATTTATCAAAAAATACGGTTGTATGAAATTTTTGAAAAAACACCCCATACCTGAATATTTGCCTAATGTGGAAAACTAACTGTATAAAAAGAATGAAATTCGACTCACTTTAATTCAATTTCCTCACGACTATTTAAACTTTTACGATAGGATGAAATCAACTTTAACACACCATCAACAAAACTATTCATAGTGATTTGAGTTTCTCCATTTTCCACCCTTAAAACTTTTGAATAACCCATAATCTCGAATTCCTAAATAAAATGCGTTTTTAAAAATAACCAAGCGATAAACAACGAACTAATAAACTTAGGAAAATATGTTTATGTGAAGTAATCAGATGATTGACATAACGAAAGGTAACATAAGATACGATTTGTTAGGGAATTAATTCCCTTAAAAAGGCAGTATGAAGATAAATATCAGCATTATTTAAATTTACAATTAACACTGCTAAGAAGCTTGGTGCAACTAACAGGTTAATTGATTCCATTCGACCTAACAGATTTTACGAAGTACATGTTTATGTGTTTGGCTTCGGAACCACACTTAATTTTGAGGGCTAGTGAAACTGTAATACTGCCTAACCGAAGTAGATGGAGTGCGATTTGAAAATGTGACTAAACTATTGAATTACAAGCATTTTAGCTACCAATTTACTATTTCATAACTAAGAAGTATTCCCAAACAAAAAACACATGTCAGTCAAATTTTAAAAATAGGATTCTAACCGTTAAAAACTGTAAAAACCAAACAAATAGTTCCTTAAGTTGCAACTAAGTAATTGGAAAGCTGTGATGTTAGAAATTTAAGGATATGATTCACAGCTCGATACAAGAACATTTAATAAATTGGATTACTTATAAACTAAACTATGCAATACAAAAAAGTATTACAGGCATATCCTCATAAATAAAACCATAAGTTATCCGATAACAACTTATCAGTTACCGCTGACAAGATCATGTGGAAAAAACTATACATACTAGGATGAAACGGCCATCCAGTGCTTTCAGGTGTTTGATTGTGGTCTAACATTGATAGGTTCTCGATTTCAATATACACTTGAGATTTTGCTTAGAATATTTCTCGGAGTACTTTATTGCTTTTATTTCCTACATTTGATCGTAATGTTTATTTGTAATGTAATACACTGTTCAACTAGTACGCTCAGTTAGTCAGTCATATGCAACGTAAGACCTGATACATATGTACATCGGTTCATGTTGCCATACCATATTAGCACAGCGAGATAAAATTATCTCAAGACAGAACCCAAAGAAGTAGAGGTAGTAACAACATCAGCAGTAGTATAAGATCAAAGATAGAAAGAGATTTCGGAGCCCAGGTTTTAAGGGAAGACAAAGAGTTAATGGACCCATGTTATGTCAAACGATTCTGAGCCATGTCAATCAGTCTCTCACTAACTAATAAACTATGTGGAATCACGCATAAAAAACAAGTTTTTACGCACCAAATATATAAAATTACTAGATTCACTTACATTTGATGTGCAAAGTAATACACCGAAACACTTGAAGAAACTGTTCAATGCTCAGATTACCACACTAGAGTACTGCTAAGAACCCCAAGTAATTTAAGGATTTCGAATATCACTAATAAATATTTATCATCACAATTTATATGCGTAAATATAGAACAACTTAGTGGCTCAGTGGTCTAGAGATTAAGCTCTCGCGCGAGAGACTGAGGGTCCTGGGTTCGAACCCCGTTGCTCGACCGTGGATGCGCACTGTCGTGAAGTCCCATACTAGGACGAAACGGAAGTACAGTGCTCCCACGTTTTACCTTTTTCCATAAGAGAAAAGTGTGGAATAGATTTAGATTACTGGGTACTGATAAGACAAAATCTTAACGCTAGTATTAGTATTTAAAACAAAATGACTAAAAATGGGGCAATACTATGGGGAGACAGTACTGCCTCATCATTAGTTAAGGAGAACTTTGGCAAGGCTCAAATATTCTCAAACTACTTTAGCAATGTATATATCATAGAAACATCCTTCCCGCCAGACCATTCAAATTCCCCTACACAAACACTGGACAGCGTGACCAGTAAAGAACTCGATGTTTTTGGTCTGCTAATTAAGCTTGACATAGGCAAATCCTCTGGACCCGATGAACTGCATCCTAGGTTGCTAAAGGAATTAGCTAACTTTGTTGCGAACCCTTCAAGTATGTTTCAATCTATCCGTAACCCAGGGTCATCTACCAAAAGACTGAAAGAACGCCATAGTAAGTCCTATCTTCAGAAGAGGTACAAAACACAAGTCTGAGAATTACCGACCCATTAGCTTAACTAGTGTGGTTGTTAAAATCTTATATCATAGAAACACCCCGTTAGTCAACAGGATTCCCCCCACACACACTGGACAATATGACCATTAAAGAAGTCGATGTATTTGGTCTTCTAAACAGGCTTGATATAGGCAAATCCATGGGACCCAATGAAATGCATCCTAGGTTACTAAAGGAACTAGCTAATTTCATTGCAAACCAATTAAGTTTATGCTTTAATCTGTCTGTAATCCAAGGTCGACTACCAAAAGACTGAAAGAACGTCATAGTAAGTCCTGTCTTTAAGACAGGTAACATAAACCTGAAAACTACCGACCTGTGAGCCTAACTAGCGTGGGTGTTAAAATTTTAAAAAATATTATTCGGAAAAAGGTTTTTAAATATTTCCATGAAAACTGGATCCTCTCAGAGAAGCAGCAAGGTTTTAGAATAGGTTATTGTCGTCTCACTAATTTATTAGTGGCTCGTGAAAGTTGGTGCGCTATTAAAGACCAAAAGTTACCTACAAAAATAGCCTACATCGATTTCAGTAAAGCTTTTGACAAAGTTCCGCACAACTGGCTGTTATATAAATTGAGAAATGTCGGAGTTGGAGGCAATCTATTGATGTTGATAAAAGACTTCCTAATCGGGTGCCGAAAGTACGGGTGAACTCCAAGTTGTCTAGTTGGAAAACTGTGCTTGTCGGAATGTCTCAGGGTACCGTTTTAAGGCTATTGTTATTCCTCTTATATGTAAATGACCTTTCTCGTCTACTATCTTCATCGGTCTCACTATATGCTGAAGATGTCAAGATATGGTGAGCGATAAGGGTGATAGCTTAAAACTTCAAAAAGACCTGGAGAAATATGAATGATCTCAAACCTGACAGTTGCCGATAAATACTTTTAAGTGTATCGTGATGCATAGTGGTCATCAAGGTACAGATACATACATGATGAATAACACTTAACACCTGAACTAATGATAGGGAGTGAAGTAGTTGAGCATGTTGACCGCTTCACTTATCTTGGGAGTCTCATCAGTCATTGTGGTCTGGCGTGTGGCGAAATCGCAGCACGGATACAGAAGGCTCGTCTAGTTTTCGCCAACTTGCGTCATTTATGGCGTAGGCGAGATATCCGTCTTGCAACCAAAGGACGGTTTTACTGCGCAGCAGTTCGATCCGTCCTCCTTTATGTCAGTGAAACACGGCCGGTAAGAGTAGATATTCGTAGGCTACTAGTATTCGATCATAAGTGTCTTCGAAGCATTGGTCGTATATCCTGGGACCACCGAGTAAGTAATGCAGTTGTTAGGAAACAGGTACTAGGTAAGGATGGCAAATCAATTGATGAAGTAATGAAACTTCATCAGTTGAGATGGTTGGGACGCGTGTTACGCATGCCCAACCACCGACTGCCCCGACGTGCAATGCTTTATGGTGTAGGAGTAAGTTGGAAGAAAGCTAGGGGCGGCCAGACCAAAACGTGGCACAAATCCATGAAGTCAGTGACAAGTGGACTGAGCCATGTTGGTAGGTGTAGACTACCTGGTTGGGATCCGCGAGATGATAGAAACCGATGATTAGAGACCTTGAATAACATGGCTCAAAATCGTTTGCAATGGCGAAGGTGCATACACTCTTCGTGTTCTGCCAAATTCTAATCTTCTGAATTCTTCATGTCCCCATTTTTTCTCTTTTCAAATTTATTCCACTGGGTTATACTTCTTGAGTAACATCTTCAAACCCTAATCTTTCGGATTGCCGCTTATACTCTTACTACTTCTACCACTATGGGATTTGAATCAACAACTGCATCTCTGTGCTAATGTGGTATGGCAACTCGAACTGATGTACGTACGTACGGAGTTCTACGTTGTGACTGACTGACATCGTTAGGCAAGACTTAAAGACTACTGTACACTGTCGTGCAATAGCCTCCAAAGTTTTAGAACCTTATGGTCAATACGTAGGACCTTTACTCATGTAGACGCTAAAACGTTTTCGACTTTTTATACAGTATGCTTGCATCTTAAACTTGAGTACTGCATACAAACGGCTAGTGTTTGACTAAAAATAGACAGTGAGCTTTTGGAAAAGCTTCAGAGAACATCAATTACGCTGACTGTCGTAGTAGCGAAGCTCCCGCATGATGCTGGACTGGCTAAGCTAAACCTATTTCCGTTTTCATATCAAAGAACTAGAGGCGACTTGATTACAGTTTTCAAATTACTGTGATAAATTCGCACCTGATATGCCCTTATTTTTCTTGTCTTCCAAAGCATGAAATTCAAGAGGACACTCCAAAAACGTTCACAAGCCCAGGACAAATTACTTGTCAGCTGACTATCGATTTTGCCATAAATCATCAACGAGTGGGACTCATTACCTCAACACGCGGTTGAAGCTCCATCTGTCGACTCTTTGTTATACCCCGATAAGGATAATGAGTGGTAACTTTGGGATCTATTTATTAACCAATATTATGCATATATTTTTTATCGTATAACTGCTAAATAACTAAACTATTCATATTCGTGTTCCCCTCATTATAAGCTTTATTTTGAACTATAAACTATTATACAATTTGCCATTCATGAATCACACCCAGCCTATTGATTACTGTTCCCCTATTCACAGCCAAATTTGGCTAAATCTTGTACATATGTTATTTTCTATTTTATTGGTACGATGTGGTCAGTCTGTTTGGTAAATAAACTCAGTATGTTTGAAATACAATGATTCATACCGCAGAGGCTGTTATTGGTGTTTTGGACTTAACTGACTGGGCTAGGCAGAAGCAAGATCGATACGTACTCTAGACTGCTCGTACGGGTTTTGTGTCGCTGTTTCAATCGATATTTCGCCGCTCTCTGATTACCGGTCTCATCACGTCATACGTTAACAAGGCATCCACTCGGCCACAAGTTATAACACTCAAAAGAAAGTTGGATCAAGCGAGAGACCAGCATTGCCAAGACTAACATAGAACACTTAGCCTTCTATCCTTTCCAAACTGAAACTGAAACTTATATTAATAAAACAAATTTTAGAAAAGATATTAAACATCGTTAACTCTCACCTAAACACATTTCTTAGAAAATGCATAGAAAGATCATACGTACAGAATTTATCAGTCGGATAGAAGAATCTAACTGGCTCTGCGGCATGACTACGAAAGTTTCAGAGTGTGATGTAGAGGAATCTCGCGATGATTTGTCAAATACTGGTTGAATATTCCAAACAGCATTGTTGAAGTAATCTATTGACGGAATGTGCGACATTTTACGTTTAAAATATATTCTCTTTGTTACAATGTTAAATGAAAACCTTGGATTAACAGTCAGCCTTCGGATAAAGGGAAAGGAAAAGTGTAAAAAATGTACAAATTGATCATACGATGAAAATATGGAAAGTAGTGCTGAACTCTAAAGACATGAATGCACGTACAATTGGCTGATCAGAGTAGTGACAAATATCATGTATGTCAAGACCTCAACATGACATCTTCCACTACTCGGTAATTAATGTTGTAAATACATGTCATACAGATCATTTTTATTTATTTATTTATTTAAACACATATATATTGGTACAAAAGGGCACCAGGTACATATGCGCCACACAAAATAATGAAAGTAGGAAGAGAAGGGATGAAAAGATAAGGCGGACTAAAATGTACAACCAGAAGACTCTTTCAAATAGGAAAGTAAGAACCATACTTTATGTAGAAAGTAAAAGAAGGTTGCAGCAGGATCGCCACTGGCTTCTATTCTGAGCCATATCTGATAACGTCTCTAGCCACTGTGTTGCACCATCTCTCGGACCCCAACCAAGGAGTCGTGAAGGACCAACAGAAGCTAGCCCTTTGCAGCTTTCTTTCATGCCACGACACCATGTCATACACTGACCTCCTCTCCGCTTTTTCCAACCAGTCCCAGGGTCGGCAAATAATGCACGACGTGGAAGTCTCTGGGACGAGATTCGTAAAACATGTCCAAGCCACCGAAGTCGGTGTTTCAAGATGGTGACACCAATTGAATTATCGTCTCTGTGCCCGAACACACGATGCCGAACCTCTGCATTACTAACATGGTGTTGCCACTGTATGTCAGCAATCCTTCGGAGACAACGATGATCGAACACAGAGAGACGTCTAACATCCTCAACTCGGAGAGGCCAGGTTTCACAAGCATAGAGCAAAACTGCTCTCACCGACGCGTTGTAGATCCGACCTTTTACAGCCAGACTAACATCACGAAGGCGCCAAAGATGGCCCAGATTGGCATAAGCCGATCTGGCTTTCCTTATACGTGCATCAATCTCATCACTCACGCCACCACCAGCACTTATATAGCTACCTAGATACACGAACTTCTCAACTACTTCGATCTGCTCACCATCCAGGGTGAGTACAGGATTAGAATCCTGCCAGTCTTGTAGAAGTACTTTGCACTTGGAGGGTGCAAAGCACATGCCGTACCTGCGGACACTGATTGCCAACTGATTAAGTGCTGATTGCATGCCTTGGGCATTATCGCACAGTAAGACAATATCATCCGCATACTCAAGGTCGAGAAGTCGTTCTCCAGGCAACATATCCACACCGCCATTACTTACATCCACCAGAGCTGTTTCTAGGATGTCGTCGATGGCAAAGTTGAAGAGGAATGGTGAGATCGGGCAACCCTGCCTAACCCCACTGCTCGAATGGAACAAGGGAGAAAGGTGGTTGTATGCCCTCACTCTGCCTGAGGTGTTCGTGTACAGGGCCTTTAAGATGTTAATGAACTTCTCAGGCACACCCTTCTTCAACAGACAATCCCAGAGAACAGTCCTGTCCAACAAATCGAAGGCAGCCCTGATATCAAGAAACACTACGATTGTTGGCCTGTGATAAGTATGACGGTGTTCTAACATTTGGCGGAGGGTGAAGATGTGATCAATGCATCCTCGACCAGAACGAAAACCAGCCTGCTCCTCGCGAGTCAATCGTTCTCGGGTTTTAAACAACCTACGAAGAATGATAGAAGCCAATAGTTTGGACGCGATCGAAAGTAGACTTATCCCCCGATAGTTGCTACAGGAACAACGTGAACCCTTTTTAAAGATAGGGACGACTATTGACTCATTCCAAGATGTTGGAACACTTTCTTGCTCCCAAACCTTTCCAAACAACACAGTCAATTCCTTAGTCAGAAAGTTGCCACCATCTTTAAAAAGAGCCGGAGGTAAGTCATCTGGGCCAGGTGATTTGTAGCGCTTCAAGAGTTGGAGTTCCTTGCGGACTTCCGCCTCGTTTGGTGGAACAGTCGTCACCGGCCATGGGGGGCAGGACAAGCTGGTTGATGTTGCCGGAGCAGCAGGCCAGTTGAACTGCCCTTCGAAAAATTCCGCCCATCGTCCAAGACGTCGGGAGATGTTAGTGATTGGCATCCCATCATCCTCGTAGATTGTTTCACTCACACCAGACTTCTTGCTGCCAGTGGCTCGGATGAGTTGGAAGAGCTTCCGGCAGTTACCAGATGCAGCTGCTGCTTCCATCTCATTAGCACGCTCCGACCACCAGGCTTCTCGGTCCTTACGCAAGCTTTGCCCAATTTCATTACGTAACAGCCTTCGTTTGTGGTCAAACTCACGGTCACCCGGAGTAGACCGACGGGCTTCCATCAGTTGTAAGGAGCCAGAAGAAACCCAGTGCTTGTAAGCGGGACTTTTCGCGAAGCCGCAAGCGGCTTTACTCGCCATTTTCATGGCGTCGTGAAGATGCAACCAATGCTCATCTATACTTTTCGGTGGGGTGTTAGCTAGCCTAGAGGCTAGCTCCGCTCGGTACTTACTTGCAACAGGAGTTGCAGCCAGTTTACTAATATCAATCCGTTGGTGGTGGTCAATCCTTCGGCCACTGAAAAGTAAGGTGAGATTGACGCAGACCAGAGCATGATCAGACTTCAGATAGGTACTCCAAAAGGAGCGGCAGTCTTGTACACAACCACGCCAGCGGTAGCTGATCGCGATGTGATCAATCTGAGTCCAGGCTTGGGATGCAGAGGGAGGACGCCAGGTGGCACACCGGCGATGACTGTGCCCGAAGTTGGTGCTGGCCAGAAACAGGTTGTGGTCTGTGCACAGTTGCAGCAAACGGTCCCCGTTATCTGTCCTGCGACCAACAAGTCCCCATCGGCCACCTAGACGACTCTCTTCTATGCCTAGACGCCCGACCTGTGCATTCAAGTCTCCGGCTAGTACTACAATATCTGTCGAACGCGCTTTCTGGAGAAGAACTGTTAACTGATGGTAAAATTGCATCCGGGCTGCAATCTGTCGGAGCATAGGCGGAGATGACGAAAAGACACCGTTTCTCACGCCGGTTTCTTCTCACTTTGATGGAACTTTCTAATCTAACAGCACATAACCGACTGTTAATGGGGATCCAATCGATTAGTGCTGCCTCAGCCCTAGCGCTTAGTGCGACGCCAACGTCAGCAAGACCAGACGAAGATGCCACAGGGTCCCCGGATAAGCGCACGTGAAACAAGCTTTTCGAGGCGACAGATGGAGAGCGGATTTGTAGTACTTCACTAGAGTCTTGAATACGGGTCTCGGATAGACAACAAACATCAACATTAAGACCTTCCAAAGACATAGCCAGCCCTATCTGTTGTCTGATCTGCATTAGTGTGCGAACGTTGAAGGAAGCCAGCTTGAACGGCGTACGTGGTTTCAGAAAGACTGCCTCAGTATTCATTATCGGTGGAAGCATTCACTTTCAACCAGACAGTGACTGGAGATCGTTTAGATAGGACAGATTTTCCACCAAGAGCGAGCTGCTGCATAAGTTGAAGAGTAAGGTTACACAAATTGGGGATAAAAGGGGGTGAATTAGCGATATGGTAAGTAATAATAATAATAATAATAATAATAATAATAATAATGTAAATTGTCTTGCTTATAATATGAGCAGGAATAGAATCGTCAATAGAGTTCATCATTTCATTCATTTGTGTGTGGGCTGTGATACTGCCCGGGTGCCCAAACCGAAGCAGGTGGTTTTCTTAGGGGACCACATACCGAGCCTTTGACCTAAAGGTATGATCCACAAGGCAGTGGAGCATCGTGAGGAGATGCAGTCCCATGGTAGCCGTTGACCAATGACAGGTTCTTCCGCCATTCGTTCCATCAGGATACTGGAGCCCATGTGCACCATTGGTTTGGAATCAGGGTTTTCCAACTCCCCTAGGTGGACCCTCCGTGTCCACCAATCCGGTTATAGCGCCGGACATTCGCCTTTCGTCCTCTCACTTTCGTAAACAACACCCCCGCCACGAGAAGGCAGTGAGTAGGACTTCCCTGGCAGAGGCTATATATTCGCTGGCCATATGAGAGCATTTCGAGAGGGAGAGTAGACTCTCCCCACACTCGGCCGTACCAGGGCATTTTGGGTCGTCATACAGATCAACCACGACCCGAATAGCTGAGTGGTAACGTAGCTGATTGAGAAGCTGAATGACACAAGCCTGAATCCGCCGAGGAGTATCGGTTATTTCCCTTAAGATTACGGGTACACCTCAGTGACGACTGCTAAGTAGAACGGAACCTAAGTCAAACAGGGTTTCCCCTATTGACTACTCACAATATCTGCCTTAACTGAACAATAATCAAAACCCAATTAGTGATTGTAATTTAACAACTCTTTGAATGCCATATTACTAAATAGTTATCAATCACATGGAATATGGTGCCTACTAGAATTAGAAGAATTAGCAAATGGCATATATATATATATATATATATATATATATATATGGAGAGAGAGAGAGAGTGGGTGTGTGTCGTTTTCTAGACACATTCAAAGAAGCTAAAGCAGCCTTACATTTTTAGAACTTCGGTCGGAAGTTCGCAGCTGTCAACCACTACTAAGAAACTGAAACCTACGAAGCTTAGGTATGTTTCATCTAATAATAATGAATTATCTCAGTAGCCTAATAAATAATATTCAAAAGTTGGTCAAGCATCAAATTCAAAAAGCAGTAACGTAGCAACTTATTAGCACAATAGCATTGTTTATTTAACTGAACACATAAATATTGGTACAAGGAGGCACCAAATATTTATTTATTTAAACATAAATATTGGTACAAAGGAGCACCACATATATATGCGCCACACAAATCTCATTTGATTTGTGTGAGGGTTGTGATACTGCCCGGGTGCCCAAACCGAAGGATGGTAACATTGACAGTATGAAACTCACTCATTCAATTTACATTCTACAGTATAATCT